CATAAGCTGGGGTCTTCTGCTTGGAAATCATAGCAAGGTCTATTCCTTGTCTGGATGTGAGATTTGTAGCAAAAGTTTCTATCTTTGTCTAAGGGAAGTCGTGCCAAAAGGCACCTTAGAAGTTGTAGCTCATGGAGTCAAATAAATATGCAAGCCATTTAATGATGAAGGATCTTGATAGCTTGCCAGAAACTAAATCTGTTTCTTTTGCAGAAGGCAATGATTCCAGCAACAACTACAAGGTCACTGAGTGCTGGGGATGCAAATATTATCTGAGATTTCAGACAATGACATTTTGGCTTCTGAAGCTAGCTAGCTGGCTAAATAAATAATTTTGACACACATGTACACACATACATATAAAAAAACTTGTTCTGGTTGCTTTAAAAAAGGATACAGAAAGTAAAAAAGCAAAAGATAGTCCCTCCAACACATATTCCCCAAAGAGAATATTCCACATTGCTTCAGCTTTAAGCAGAATTTATGTTACACGGCTAAGTCACAGGGGAAACCAGCACAACCTGATACGCCGGTGGAGCTCTCTGATGGGTGAGATTACAACTGAGTTACTAATGTTTTGGCAATTTGAGAACAACAAAGATATTTGGGTCAGTTTAAATCTCAGTCTTGTACTCCCTCCCTTTCTGCACTTGAAAATGCTTGAGGTCTTTTAGCTAGGAGTTCTCGGGAGAGAGATAACAAGGATAAATGCTCCCACTGAAGAAAATATACATAGCTCAAGGTTGAACTGTGGGATCCTTGGTTCTCTCTGAGCTTGGTTGTTGGCTTGCAGACCTTTTATTACCTGACTAGGTAACAACATCAGTGCCAAGGATAAACACTGTTTTGTTACCTGGATTTGAGATCATCATGGCCACAAATGATCACACCCTGATTTTCGAGGGCACCCAAAACCCTGAGCCTCCAAACGACTGTAGGCCTCGTATGCTTTCCATATATGGTTGCTCTTCATGCTTTGCCCATTCATATTTCATCAGCATCAATTATGCAAGAAGCTGACAGACAGGCTCTTCTTGGCCACTTTTAGCAACAACATTTGCAGAATGGAAGAGGAGGGAAAGTGCTTTATGGGGACCCCTGCCCAGAAGTTTCGGGCTACACTGATCAGACAGCCACACCTAAAGGACCTTTGCTGCATTGTTAGGATGATAATTTATGCCACAAACTATATGCACCTTAATAAAACCCGCTGGAAGAAGAGAGGAATAGCAACATATAGGCAGAAATATTGAGCCCACGTTTCATTGTTTAAAAATTCCAAATGCTGTGGTCATAGGAAGTCCCAAATTCAGTCCCTGGGTATCTCCAGATCCATGTTGTGCCCCCAAATGCTCAGCTTGCGTGTTCAAGAACCCATAAACCTTATCCATTTTGAAATTTTAAATTGGACACCTTCCCACCTTCTCCACTTTACAAAGCAAAGTGGGCTGTAGCTATCACAGTCTAGCTTGGCCTGCAGAGAGGAACCTGAGTGAAGAAAAGGGCAGGACTGAATTCCCAGAACTGAATCAGCCCCTTCTCATTCTGTCTTGGGATCTTCCTTTGGGAAGAGAGTTTTGCGCAAAGCTAGATCCAAGTTCCCTGAAAAGGTTAGACACAAGGAATGGTGCCCTGCTTTCACCCTGCTACAAAAGCTTTCCAAATACCCGCTTTCTGTGGGGAAGAGGAAGCCTCTTTTAAAAAGTAAGGGACTGCCTGCCGGAACCAACTGGAGCTGAAAAAGCAAAACAGAGCCGTCCCACTGATGTCAGGAGAGCGACTGCGCTTAAACAGGCTTTGCCTGGCAAAGCTCTCGGCTCCAGGGGTGCCGTGGGATGCATTTGTATGCACGAAAGCATCTTGCATCTCTGAAAGGAGCTAATTAAGCCAACGTGTGAAAGGTATTTAAAAGGATCCTTCGCCTAGAAAATCTTGCAATTTGATCTGTGCCTGATCTACAAGGCGGCTGCCTGTAAAATAAAGGTTATTTCTCAACAGAGCCAGACAGTCAGAAGGAGAAATTGTGTGGGTGTCTCTCCTTACCACACATATCTGGGGAGGAAGCATAAGCTGCCCCCCCCCCACACACACACACACTTCTGCTTAGCAATGCCATGCATATTCTCCCAATCTCAGTCTTTTCAAAGCCCACCCACCCGTGCCTTGGTAGATTTCTCTGCAAAACCTGTACTTGCAGGAGAAAGCTGAGAGATTCCTAGCCACCCCCATTCTTGCAGCATTCAGGAGGAGGAGGAAAAACATGTCCAGAATCTAAGATCTTCAGCTTCCATGGTTGCAAACATTTCGCTGGGTCAGAAGACTCTGTCTGAAACGTCCTTTCAAAAAATAACACCTCCCACAAAGGCAAAGTGTTGATCCTGGGAGGAAGGCAAAAGATGCTTTGGGGAACCTCTCCCATCTGGGGACCCTCCAGATGGTGGGACTACAACTCTCATCCGTTAGGGATGGCTGGGAAGATCTGGGCGCTCTGGTCCCAGGCCTCTGGAGGAAAGGCTGCAGGCACCGAATTCAGGGCATGGAACAAACAGGGTTCTTTGCAATACCCCTCAAGGAACTGGGGTGCTCCCCCCACCTCAGGTTACTTACGGCAGCTGCCTTAGCTGGAATAAATCTTCCTCCATTGCAAAGGTGGGGCTGGAGGAAGGTCTCTCATCGCTCTTACATGGTGGGGAGGAAGAGAGAAGTAGGCGATTTCAGGAGGCTGGCGGGCAGGACAGCTCCCGTTGTAACCAGCCAGCCTGCGCGATGCAAACCAGGAGGAGGAGGCGAGCTCTGAAAGCAGCAGCAGCAGCAGCAGCGGGGAGGGGGGTATCAGCTTGCTTGTCTTGAAATCCTTCCCCTTTCCTTGCTGGCTGCTCTCAGTTCGCTTCACTTGCTGCAGGGCAATCTTCCACCTCCTGGCAAGAGACCTTTGCAACACCCCAGGCACGGGGTGCTGGAGGAGAACCAGGAAGCGCTTGGGGGCAAAACACAGTAGTCTAAGGCTGGGGGCCCAGTGGGGTGAAAAGGCTTCTCAAGATGGACCCAGCTCTCCAAAGCTCCTCCTACAGTTGTGGGGTTTGCTGCAAGAGATGACTAAGAAGAGATTTCTTGCTCCGGTGGATGCAAGGCTTCCACAGTCCAGGGTTGGAAATTCAACCTATGCATCTTTTCTTTCCAAGGGCAGGGGCTGAGCAGTGGTTGCTACTGAGTGGTAGAAGAAGGCTGCCATCTTCTGCCTCTTCACCTGCAACTCCAGTGACCTTACGGGGCTTGCTTAAATGTTGCAGGTGGAACGGTTGAACCATACAAGGCATTTTAGAAGTGGCAAGGAACTAAACTCCGTACAAAAAGGTGAATGCATGTCCACCCGACTGAAAGTGTGGCGTGAAAAGAGGCCGTAAACAGCAGGTAGAAGGAAACAGCAGGCGTGTCAGGCAAGATTCTGGGTCCCCCATCAGGAGAAGAAGCAGGAGAACCCTCAGTTCAGAGTAAGCATGCTTTGCCATAGCTTGGAGTAAACAACTGATGCAATCACAATCATCTCAACGATCTTACTGTCTCGCTGTCAAGTCCTCCATCTGGAATTACTGCACATGCCTCAGGATGACCGCCTTCCCCACTCTGCTGCCTTTCAGATGTGTGAGGGATTCTGGAAGTTGCTCTCCCGGATCTGAAAGACAGAAAGTTGGGGAAGGCAGCTTTCTGGCATGGTGGAAGCTTGAGGACCCTGGGATCTGTCTCAAGGAAGCTGATTTGGATCATTTCCCAGCTCAGCTGTTGGGCACACTGGCTCTTGTTTGGGCCGAGCGAGGCAGGGAATCAGGAAAGCTGTAGGTCGAGGCTAAGGTGCAGCTGGATAACGCACGGGGAGGTTGAAGCCTCCCTTTGCACAGACAACACTGTCTTAAGCAGGATGTTGGAGATGTCACTCTCACAAATGATTTGCAACCCTCCCAGACTTGTCCCCTTCCTGATGAGGATTACTCCTCACAGCTTTAGTCCAGTGGACAAGGATGCCTTAAATTCTAAATATACTGGGGAAATGTGGCAGACTTTGAAATGTCTCAGAACTGCTTTCCTTTATTTCATGGGAAAAATTAATTTCTGATGTGCTATTTGATTCTCTGCTCCCTCCCCCCCCCCCCCCCCATTAAGTATATTCAAAGTGTTTTGTTTGGGGCTCAATACATCATTTTTACAAATGCAAACCAGAGGATTGGAAGCGATGACTTAGAGCAGCCTTCCCCAACATGGTATGGGTGGGAATCCTTTAAACAGGCGACCAGCATAGCCACAATTTATCAGCTACTCAGCTGATGTCCAGTGGCTTGGAATGGACAATGAATATTGCGGCTTTACTGCCTGATGGGACTTCGAACTCATTCCCGCTGGACTCAGAACTGAATCTACCATCTTTAAAGCTAATTTCTATCTTGGTACAATTAAGAAAACGGTTGATCTGGAATGCTGCTTCCTCCCTCCCTGCCTTCTCCCCACAAGAAAAACAATGCCCTCCTCCCTCTATCTTTTAGGGAAGCTGTTCCGCGGAACCTTTTTTTTCTGCTCGCGGAACCATGTTTTCGCGGCAGCCGGCGCAGGACGGGAGCCATTGAGCGGGGAACCCCTTAGCAACCGTCGGGGCGGGCGGACCCCGTTGCTACGAGATCCTCGGGAAAGAACTCAGCTCGGCGGCTTCCGCTCCTCCCGAAACTCTTCCCCGCGCGACCCGCGCCTTCAGTTCCGCC